ATTATCTAAACCCAAGAATAAAATCTTTGCATTTTTATTAAGAAGACCTATATTATTATATATATACATATATATATTAAGAAGATCAGAAAAAAAAAATTTACTTTCGGATGAACAATTACCACTTCACAGAAGAAATTAAAAGATCTTTGTACCCAGAGACGTTAAAACATCATAAAACCAGTTAATAATAAACATTTTTTTTTAATTCTTGTGATAATATAAAATGGGAATAATAATGTGTTTTTCTGAAGTTATGAGGTTATATAAGAAGAAAAGAATAATCGAAGATATAAATTTACAGTACATATTATATAACATATATATAAAAGAATGACTGTTTGCATGTGAAAATCCAGTTATTCTTATTAAATCAGTGAAAGATCTGAGCGCGTAATCACACTCTATTAACATCTAATTTGTCATTTTAATTAACTATATTAACTATAATTACCCAGATACAGTATTAATATATTAACAAAAAAGTTTCAATTTATTAAGTTTTACGTCGATGTGAAAAAACTGATGCGTATGGCGAAAACCGGTTTTTCATTTTTCGAAGTACAAAAAATACGCAGTATGAAATTTATTACGAGAAAAAAAAGATAAAACATGCTTCATCTAAATCTTTTATTATTGTATCTATAATGCTTTCTTTTGAAATTATTTTCATTTTCTATTATATAGTATAATCTCACCATAATTACAGTTTGCAATCATATCTACCAATAATCTATCAACAGTCTACAATGAATTAACGTTTTATTCTATATTCATGTGAAGATGAATGTGAGATATTGGCTTAGCTGTGAACATTAAATAAATTTAAAAATAAATAGATATATATCACACCACTGGTGTTGAACACCTTATTATTCTATACTGCATATTCTGAAATTGTTTTTTTTTTGCTTGCAGGGTAATATTTATATAATTTCGATCACCTGAATCATGTATTTTATTTTTATTGATTGATAATCACACTGGTGTTATTACATACCTGAAAATTTAGGTTATAATGAAATCAATAATAACAGCGATCACAAAAAAAAATATGATGATGACTCCCGATAGAAAATCGTTGATGATTACAAGGCTGTAGATAAAAAAAATTGATAATAAAATGAAATGAATTTAATATAAATAATAAAATAAATAATAAATAAATAAATAAATAAATAAATGATAATAGATAATAATAATTCATCATTTTTTAAGATGAGATATTTACAGAGCATACACATTCGGCATTTATCTCAATTAATTTTTCCCATAAATATTGTTTTTGAATATGCCGATGCATCAGGATCATCATTTGCATTATTATATGTGAAAATATTTTTTGAGATATTCATAAAAAATTAACTAGCATTATTTTGGAGAACTTTCATATAATTGTTATAAAATTAATATATAGATAGAGATAGATAGAGAGATATATATTACCATGAATCCTTAAATACAATTGCGTGCTGTCAATTTCCCTGATGTATGAATAAATAAGGATGATTCAACCAAGTCCACGTTGTTTATATCTATCATTTTCTTTGACCCAATCAATAACATTCTTAGTAAAACATTGTTAAAATATTGTTATTTAAAATATTTGTGTAAATATAATAACAATGATAATAAATATTAGATTTCATAATCTCATGAATAATAATAGATTTATTCACCAACTTACTTGCTATAACCAATAGCTTAAATCATTATAAAATACTTTTTCAATGAAAAACTAGAAGTTCTCTTTTCTATAGAATTTACTATTGAATTCTGTGTTGATTTTTTAATTTTATAAAAATCTAGTAGACAATAAAATTTAATGCAGTTAAAGGTTGATTTCCTAAGATTGCATACGAGTAGCTGATTATAAAATGCTACCGAAAGAATAACTTCTGGTGCATTTCAATAGATTAGATTCGGTTTGTACTAAATAATTAAATTTTAAAATTTTAAATATTAATTAATTAATATATATATATATATAATGAATATATTCATTCGTGACATACATTTTTACTAGCCATATAATTCATTTCGTTACGAATATTCGGGCTAACTTTGGTTCTATTTTCTTCCCTAAACCATATTAAAAAAATATTCCAAATACAAAAACTCATCAGTTATCATTCCATACATATAAAATTGATAGAATTAAAGAAGAAAAAATATGCAAGATAATTACTCGTCAGAGATGAATTATCCAATTCTTTTGTCATTTCCTAAAATCTTAATTCAAAGCTGATGGTTCGGGCCTTATTTCAGAACCATCTTCAGAACCCGAACGAGATATGAGGTGATCTGGATGATCTGGATTCTATCGGTAAAAAAATTTATATTAAATTAAATTCTTTTTGTATATTGATATATATTTTCGAAATCAATTCGCAACATAAAATTCAAAATAGAATTTTGTTATTACTTTATCCAACGACGACGCGTCCAATTATCTCTTTTATGGAACGTTGATTATTATTATTTTATGGATAGGAAGTAATCTCTATTTTTTCCTTTGGGCAGATTTTTTTTATCATTTGTTGTTGATGATAAAACAGATTGATGACAGGCAAAGAGGTGGAACGGATAAAGAAGATGGTGAACTTGAATTATTCTTTGATCCACTATGGCACTGACGAAGGAGACAGAAATTGTTGGATCTGCAAAAAATTGACTTGAAAGTTTAAATATCCCTCAACACTTTATAACGGATTAACAAATGAAAAAAATTAAAGAAAAATAAAAATATGTACTGAAATAAATCAAAAAAAAAAAATAATAAACAAAATATATTAGAATTAAAGTCTGACCTGATATCTTTACTTTGTTTTTTTATAAAGTCTATCAGAAAATTTAAAAATGTTTTCTTCGTGAAGTTTGGGTTCGGCACTGAAAGAATCCAAGAATTTTTTAACATTTAATCAATTCGGTTGGTTCTATTACGTCTAGATACCATTGTTTAGAAGAAGTATCTGGCGATGACGACGTGATTCTGAAGTTAATGGATCGAAAAATATATCCGAAGATCCACACGTTGCATCAGTTTCCTTCAGTTTGAAGGTTATTAGAGTTTCAAACATTAGGCAACAACCATGTGACATTATTAACTATTTTTTGGATCACGATTCTGTGACTGGATAATCCATATCCGTAATCCGGATAAAAAATAAGAAATCCGGATTGACCGGATTAAGGATCGGAACACTAAGTTACTTTGAGATGAGCGTACTTTGTGGATGGAAATTTTCATGTTTGCTTCTACATTCGAGGCGACTTCGCGTTTGTTTCGTATGATTAATTAATGTTTGCATCATATTTCGAGGTATGTTTCATTGTACTTCAAGGTTGTTTTGAGTTCGAGCATGAGGCACATAGTGCCGAATAGTTACTATTTGGCAATCGAGAATGAGGCCGAATAGTTATTTACTTGGTGACTAGAATCATGGTGTCAGGAAGAATGTGTCTCAGCAAAGTAACATTACTATCGATGATGAAGAAAATGAATTGGCACTTAGACGAAAATAGAATTATTAGATGAGAGACAAACAAAACTACTACAAACGATCAGGTGACGAGTCCCATCGCAACCGTGTATTGCCACTACCATTGCGCGAGTTCGTTTGGAAGATGACAATGTCGATAATCCTTTAGAATCGAACCCAGAAGGGTTCACGCGAAACTAATCAATGAATCAGATTGGCACAGGTGAAAATAATGATACCTCCAGGAGAGTTTTTTGTCCAAGCGTAGCAATATTTCCGAAGAAGATACAGGAAACAAGTTAAGGATAAGGATTCACGCATATTAAAAAGGCTTATCCAGGAATTGAGTACAGATATCCGTGAATTTCTAAAGTTAAGGAAAGGGAAGCTCTCCAAAAAGAATCCATAATAGAAAGTGGAATAAGATTTTTTTCAATTTGTATTTAAAATTTCTAATGTTCGAAACTAATTATTAATCCATTTAAAGGAATTGGCTACTTTAGGAACTGTTGGTGAGAAAGTATGAATCTGACTCTAAGAACATGGTATGAATATATGATAGAAGGATAAAACTAAAAATAGTAGTTGTAATTGTTTACCATATTATGTATCATTTATAGAATAACACAGGAAGTGTCCAAATAAGTACTACAGTAATAGAATCCAGCCCACAAATTGAGGATATTAATGAATCCATGATAGATGCAGAAAATAATGTCAATGATAAGGTAGGTTTGTTTTGATTTTATTAAACACAATTCTTTGATTGACTTCTCCAAGTAATTATTATGCCAATGTTTACAGATTAAAAGACTTTTACTATCTAAGGATCTGGAGGAAATTTGGAGATTGGTTATGGATCGTTTAAATAAAAAAAACATAAAAGTTAATAAGTCTTTTTTCCATAATTTATTAGATATGCAATTATCAAACTGCTAACGTTTATAGATCAATAGAATCAAAAATATTCGACTTAACTAATTGGTCAAGTCGCGAATTCTGAATACCAAAGATAAAGGGAAATTATTCGATCTTGTCAACAAAAATTATTAAATGATCTAATTGATAAGAGTGTTATTAATTTAATCGATAATTCTGAAACCAGAATTGTAATTCCTAGTATTTTTTATATTTGTGCCATTTCACTTTGATATATTATAACGATATGCACAATTGATTATTTTATAATGTTTATATTACAGAGAAATTTAGATGGTTTTGAAACAATTAAAAGATAAAAATATTTATTTCTCAATTAAGCATATTAACTTTTGAAGACGTGAAGTAAATATATTAACTCATTCAATCCGAGAAAAAGACTATATATTAAGAATTCTGTCTCTTAAATAAATAAATGACTGTTATAATATATAAATTTTATTTATTAGGAAAACATCAAAAATGTTCTTAGTAAACCTTAAAACTAGAAATGAAATACACGTACAATAAAAGTATCAGACTTATTGAATACGAATTAAGTGAATTATAACTGTTTAAAGTTTCAAATAATAATAATTTTAAATTAAACTTTTTTGTGTAATTGAGATCGAAAATCAATCAACCTTACAATAAATATTTATGCTTTCTTTCTTTACGTGTTGTGTATTCAAAAATGTACATTCAAAAGTGTACATATTCTAAATTATTTTTTTTTATTGATCAAAATTTTAAATAATTAAATAATTATAACATTATTATTTTTCATTCATTATAGTGATTATAGTAAGAAAATAGTGACAAAAATAAAGTTTTTTTTTTTTTTTTTTAACACAAAAATGAGTTTCGCAAGAATCATTACAAGTTTTATGAGTTTCGTGTGTCATCACTTATAGATAGATAGATATATATAACATTATTTAATTCACGATTCACTTTATTTGCAATTCCTTGCTTCTTTCAAAAATAAAAAAAATTATTATTTAATATTATTATAATAAAAAAAAATATGGTCTCAGAAATTCAATTCATTGACGATGATCTTGCGAACACTTCTTTAGATGAAGACGAATATATTGTTGAAAAGATTATTTCGCATAGGCGTAAATTAAATGTTAATAATTATATTTTAATAAATTTTTAATATTTAATAAATTTTATTTTATCAGAAATAAAAATATATATATAATAAATATTATTATTATTTGACAGGGTGAATATCAATACTTTCTTAAATGGAAGGGTTATCCTGATGAAGAAAGTTCATGGGAGAATGAATCGAACATGTAAAGTCTCCGAATTTATTCATGTATTTTCATTTACATTTTAAATTTATTACATTTTTTCCATTATTCGAAATCGTCTATCCTTTTTTTTTTTTAGTTATTCCGAAGAAATAATCCAAGAATATTGGAATAAGAGAGGAGGTAGACCAAATTCTTCTCGAAGATTTTTTAATCAAAAATCCAATAACCAAATTCGTCATCATAACAATTCCGGCAATAACAATATTCGTAACGATAAAGGAACAAATCATCAAAACAGTAGTAAGAAACATAATAATAATGTGATGGAAATAGAATATATCAATCATGATAGTAGTGAATCCTTAATTTTAGAAAATAATAAAAATTATCGTTGCCGCCGTCGTGGTAATTTTGAAGAAATGGAATTCGAAGAAGAAAACGACGATGATAATGGTAATGAATCCAGTGACGAAGACTACAGCAGAAATTATCGTAAAAATTATCATCGTGTAAAAAGTGTGCAAAGAAATAATCGAATCATCCGTGTTCGTGATAAAGCCAATACAAATACTAGACGCACCAAAAACCATCATGCTGACAATAATAATAATAATAATAATAATAATAAAAATAAAACCAGCGAGAACAATAATAAATATTCGACACAAGGTGACGACCTGCATACACCTTGGGGAATAGGTGGTTTAGAAGAAATGGATAGTTGGGAGGAATATATTGAAAGTGTGGATTATATAACACGTGAAGGCGGCGAACTTTTGGTATATGTTACATGGTAAAGAAACATAATAGTAATGAATATATAGTAAAAAAACAATTATCAAAATCTGATATATTCATTATTTTTTTTTTAATGAAAATTTAGGAAATTTGGATTTAAATCAGTTCATACTTCTACTGTCGTGAATTTTAAATGCCCTCAAAAAGTAATATTAATATTTCTTTTTCTATACTATATTTAATAATAATTATAATAATCATATATTTATTATATTAGGTAATCAAATTTTATGAAAAGCACATTCAATTTGTCTCTTAAAAATTCATTCCGAGATTTAACATTAGAAGCGTATTTAGAATTTTCTCAATTCTATCTCTGTCATATTCTTTTTGTTATATCTCTGTTATTTCCTTTGTTATATCCTTTTGTTATATGTCTTTTTATTATATCTTTTTGTCATAATATCTTTTCGTTATATCTTTTGCTGCATTTTTATATTTTTCAAACCAAACAAGTATTAAATAAATAAACTGAATTAATTAGAAAAAAGTATTTTGTAACTATTTCCTCGTGACCTTAATGCAAGAGCATTATTTGGCTCTAACATTTCATTACACTTGCCAATAATTTCTTCAGATAAGATCATTATTTGAATCCATTTCTAATAATTATTAAATTTTATTAAGGCTTCATTATACTTTTCTAACTTTCGATAAGTTTCTCCTCGTAATCTTAATACAAAAGCATTATTTGGTCTTATTTTTAATAATTTATTAAAATCTGTTAATACTTCATTACGCTTTTCTAATTTTTTGATAAGTTTTTTCTCCTCGTGATTTTAATGCACGAACATTATTTAGTTTTATTTTTAATAATTTATTTGAAATCTGTTAATGTTTCATTATACTTTTCTAACTTTCGATAAGTTTCTCTTCGTAATCTTAATGCAAGAGTATTATTTAATTCTTTTTCTAATAAATTATTAAAATCTATTAATGCATCATGGTACTTTTCTAACAATAGATAAGCTTCCCCCTCGCAGGAGCATTATAATATCTTCTCTTTGAATAATATAAATATTTGCCAACAAAATTGTAAGTTATAAATAAATAAATAAAAATAATATGATAAAGATTATATTTATGATGAAAAGAAATGCACTGCCCAAAAATATGAATAAAACCTCTAAAATGGGGAATAAAAAACATAGGAAATAAAAAGGACAAATATTGCTCCAATTGTAGCTTTGAAAAATCCTGTTTCATTTCTCTTTTTGTATGAATATAATAGCCAAAACATAAAATTGAACTTCTTTTCTGTATATGGCGGATAACGAACTTCTAATAATCTTTCCAGGATGTAAGGAGAAGTCATCACACTTCTCTCATGCGAGAATGTATCGAAAGTTCTTTTTCCACGATATTTTCCTATTCCTGAATGTCCTTGGCCACCAAATGGCAACGTTGACACTATTAATTAAACAAGGTATAATCTTTTAATTCTTTTATTAAAATTTTATAAAAATTATAAAAATCCAGTAATCAGTAAAACATACCCGTGAAATGCATAAAACAATCATTAATGAGTACTCCACCAGAACGAGTGTTATCAAGAACTAAAAATAATAATAATAATAATAATAATAATAATAATTAAAATATATATATTGATACATATATATAATAATAATAAATTGACGATTTAACCTACTATTTTCAATAGTTTTTTCATTGTTACTGAACGGATAAATAACTAAAGGAATATCCTTAGATCTAATGAATTCTAATGCCTCATCCAGATTCTCAACAACAACAATAGGCAAAATTGGACCAAACAATTCTTCTTGCATTAATGAGTCATATTTTGGAACATCAGAAACTACTGTTGCAGGGAAGAATAGATCATTTTTATCTTTATCGCCTCCGTATACAACCTTTCCTTCTGTTTTATCTAACAAATCAGTCAAACGATCAAAATGTCTTTGACTAATTATACGGGAAGAATCTGGGCTGTTTTGAGGATCAGGTCCGTATAACTCTTCAACGATTCTAGGAACTTCTTTTACAAAAGCCTCTTGTACGGATTTTTCACAAATAACATAATCAGGAGCAATACATGCCTAATAATAATAAAAAATTTAATTAAAGTGAAAATTATTAAAGATTAAAAAATTTAAATGAAATTAATTGCCTGTCCAGAATTATAAATTTTAGACCAAAGTATTCGTTTGGCAGTAACTGGAATATCTGCGTCATTTGCCACAATCGCTGGACTCTTACCACCAAGTTCCAAGGTAATTGGAGTTAAGTGTTTTGCCGCGGTTTCCATAACAATTTTTCCTATTTTTCCACTACCAGTATAAAATATATGATCGAATCTATTCTCTAATAATGTTGTAGCCACTTTAGCATCTCCATTTACTATACGATACGAATTTTGATCAAGATATTTTGGAAACAGTTCAGTAATAACGGTCGCACAGTTTTCTGCTATTTCGGAAGGTTTGAGAATAGCAGTACAACCAGCAGAAATAGCGCCGACAAAAGGTAAAAGTAAAAGAAGAATGGGAAAATTCCAAGGGCCAATTATAAGAACATTGCCTGGATAATGAAAATAATGAAATAATGAAAATAATGAAAATAATGAAATAATGAAAATAATGAAATAATGAAAATAATGAAAATGATGAAATAATGAAATTTAATTAAAGAAATTCTTATATAAAATATTTCTAAATATTATTAATAAAAACCTACCAACTGGTTCCTTTCTTATTTGGCACCTATTCAATTTGTGAGCGATACCAACTTTTACGAATTCAGGTTTTGCCCAAGTATCAAGGTTTTTAATAGAATCATAAATTTCTTGTTTAATAATGGATATTTCGCCAAGCACCGCTTCAGACCTTGGCCTACGAAGATCCTTTTGTAAAGCATCACATAATTCTTGTTCATTGTCATCAAATAAATTGTATAATTGTTTCAATTGATTTTTTCTGTAACTTAATGGTTTCGTCAAATTGGAGAAGAAAGATTTTCGAAGGTCTTCAACAATCTATACAATATTTTGGATAAATTCGGATAAAGATAATTTAATAAAAAAAAATTTACGCAAAAAATTATTCCTTAATTAACCTGAGGAACTTCTTCAGTAGACGTATAATTTAACTTCATGTTAAAATTAAAAAAAAAAGAGGGAAATGAGTAAAATGTAGCCAAGCTTAGCTAATCTTCCTTAAGTAGTTGTATCGTTGTCCATTTTGGGAATGCCATCAATTCTTTCATTTTGTCATGTGTTTGATAAAAATTAATAGAGAGGACCCTTAATCTGTATAGTGGGGGACATGAAATTTCATGGTTAAGTGTTGATATAATACTGATTTATTATTGGTCAAAAATTTATACATGTGATTACCGATTTTTAAAAATCGGCGAAAAATTCATTATTTTACTATTTCATCAATATTTTCAATATTTCTTTAAAATATATTCAACTTGTAAACCTGTTAATCCTCTCCAATAACATTCCATAAATTTTGCAGATTTTCTAACATATTTACGTATTTGATTTAAAGGAATTGAATCTAATGCAAGTGGAATTGTTTCTTGTAATCCTTTCCAAGTATAATCACAATGCTGTCAAGTATAATGCTTTGCAGCACCCCAATGCATTTTGATATAATTAAGTTCACAATGGAACTTTGGATAAATATAACTTTGTGCTCAAATTCTTCAATAATTTCTTGTAATAATGGTTTTTGATTACAAAATCTTCTTGATCACCTAGAATATGATGTACACAACATCTTGAATTTTCCTATTAATTCTTCATTTTTATCACAAAAAGTCTTTAATCCTGAACCCCATAAACCATGTTCTTGTAAAATTATTTTCATTCCTTTAGGTTTACCTCTAAGAGTTTTATCAGAATGATCTGTAGAAAATATCATACTTTAAATTTGTTCATTAAAAATAGTATTACATATAATAAGTCGTTTTTCACCAGAATTCAAATTCTTACTTGCTGCATTAAGAGTATCATCAGCTAATTTTGCATGACTAGAAGAATTATCAAAAGCAAATACAGCAATTATTACAAAATGTGTTTTTTCAAAAATTGGAATTGCTTGAGTTTTAATTTAACAACATCAGGAAATTTTTGGAGGTGAATATATCCAGATATATTTGTCCACTCACACATAAATCACATTAATCCACATTAATCCACATTTATCTGCATTAATTCATATGTTACACTAAATATATCCACATATATTTAGTTTTTATTAATTGCAAATATATCTACATATATTTGCAAGTGAAATTTTTCTGATGAAGTTAAATTAAAATTAAATAATATAAACTATTTTTAATTAATTGAAATAAAAAAAAACCTGATCAATTAATCAATCTATATTCCACCATTTATCAAATTTTTTTCTGGATTAATTGTAATACAAGCTTTATATGAAATTGTATCATCAATATTTTGTTTTAATTTTTCAATTGTTTCTGTCAAAAAGTCACTAATATAAATAGTTCTTTCTTGACCTTTTTTTCATAAAAGTTGTTCATTTTTTGGTCACCAATCTGTTTTTTGTCCATCATTAGATTGAAAAGTTATTTTATTAGGGATGACAAGAATATGCAATCTTTCTTCTTCATTTAATTTGGAATTAATTTGAATTTCACATTCTTTACCAATAAATTTTAACATTAACTTTTAATAACTACATATATTATATAAAACAAATTATAATAAATTATATTAAAATAATTATTAATAAATAATATAGAACAATAATTTAAAAATATCTGATTATTATTTCAAAAAATATTTTTAATAATTAATAACATCATCTTTTTCATGACCATCAATATAGATTCCTTTTACATATTTACTAAATATAGATTTCATTTTTTTTAATCACCAATTTGCTATCTTTTTTATTATAAATATTTAAAATAGAATTTAATAAAATTATATAAAATAAAATATAATAAAAAAATTTTATCTTATTTTATTTTTTTTTATATCAATAGATAATAAAATTTCATCAATAATATAATCACAGAAATTATTAATATTTACATTAAATTTGTTTTGCTGTAAATATGAAACTATTTTCAATTGAATATTTTCATTATTAATAATATTGTTTCCTTTAAGATATAAACTATAATTATTTTTTGAAATATCATTATAAAAAATAAATACTTTAGACCAATTCCTAATATAGTAAGCAAATTATTTTCCTTGATTAAGAAGGTCTACAACAACTTAACTTACTTTTAACTTTGTATGTCTTTTGTTAAGAAGTACACAATACATTTTTGAAGGTTTTGGAACAAAAACCACAATATATGCATTAGTGTGTTTGCCTCTACTGGAAGCTCATATTTGCTATCTAAATTTAACTATAACTAGACAAGTCTAATTATGACATGGGATTTTTGTTTTTAGCCACATTTGTATGACATGTAATTTATATTTTTAATCACATTTTTGTTATATTTTTGTTAGATTTATTTTATGCTTCTCTACTTGCTGTTAAAAAAACAATGAGAAATGATAAAGAATATGAATGTAATGAATATCCTGATCCCTTCTCAAACATACTAGCAAGCTAAAATATATATCAATTTATTAAATCTAATCAAAGTCTAACTGAAAATTTAATATATCAATGGGAGAATTAGGACAGAAAAAATTATAGTATTAGATACATATTAAATCTTTATAAAATGTATTTTTCATATACAAGTTAAATCTAACAAAAAAATTTTATATATTACAAATATCTAATCAAAATTGTATAGCAAAATAAAGTTTTAAAGTATTTTTTAAAAAAATTGTCCGTGGTATTTAATGCTCTAGATCAAGTTTCTAATATACAAAAAATATAACCTTAAGTCTAACCTCTTGATATCAAAATTGTCCTTGGTATTTAGCACTTTAGATTAAGTTCTTAATATACAAAAATTTATTAAAACTGATAATATAATAAGTTTAATGAAACTGTTTTAAATATTTAACACATCCGATACATATTATTTAGTATTTTCAAAAGCCTTAACACATAATTTTTAATAGTATTGAACAACATAAAACCTTCTTATATATAAAGAGCAATGACCAGAAATTGATCTAGTAGGCTTTCCACAATCACTACAAGGGACATGTTTTTTAACCTTCCAATGAAACTGGTACCTCTCTGACTGAATACAAAATTTAGAACAAACAATACCAGAGTTATGAATATATGGACACGAATACTCACCAATTATTTTTGAATATATGATATGAATTAATTATTTAAAGAAAAGATTTTGTATAAGTAAAATATAATATAAAAGTTAGACTTAGTATATTATATAAAATGTCAGATGCATATTCAGAACATATCGAAGAATTTAGTATTGAAATAGCTGATTATAATCCAATTGGACCAGCATATCATATACCATTACTAAAAACAATATCAAAATAAAACAATGATATTATAAACATTCAAAATGATGATGACTGGTATTTTGAATAGTATGTCTTAAAAACATTACATCTGGTTAAAGTTCATCCAGAAAGAAACCCACATCGAATATATGTAAAATATATAAATGAGTTTAATATAGAAGGTATTCCAATACCAGTACCAGTTTCTACTTCTATATATCAAAAATTCAAAGAAAACAATTTAGAAATTAGTTTATGTATATATGAATGACATAATTAAAATAAATATTTTATTTTCTATTATTTTTTAGAAAGAAAAGGTGCAGAATTCAAAGAGATAAATCTTTTGGTTATATCAGAATTTGATAATTAAAAAATCCTCAAACTCATTATTATATTATCAAAGATCTTCATAGATTGATATATAATTATAGTAAATACAAAGGAAGAAAATATATATGTTGATTTTGTCTTCATATATATTCTACAGAAAAAGGATTTATTGAACATAAAACAATTTCCAAAAAATATTTAAGAGTAAATGACACTCCTCAAATATCAAAAGTTTCTATAATGGAAAAAAGTATAAAAGAATTTTGTAATCACAAATGTATGTAACCAAATCCATATCAAATAATTTGGGATTTCAATGTTTAATTACAAAACTAACTTCAAAAAAGGAAACTCAATTAACTCAAACTGAAAAGTTTCAAAAATATATTTCATGTAGATATTCATATGCAGTTATTCGTATAGATAGTTTCTATAACTATGAGATTACAAGTTTTGATTTATATAGAGGACCAGATATTTTAAAAAAATTTATTAATAAACTTGAAGAGGAGCTAGAAGAAATCCAAGCAAATTTAGTAGAACTTGCTAATATAATTATAGAAAAAGTTGATTATAAGAAACATCAAATAGCAACCAAATGTTGAATTTGTAAGAAAAAATTTCTGAATCAAGCTTTACTTAAGGCAATGATTTATTGTCCAAATACTGGAGATTATAAAGAAGCAGTACATCATGAATGTAAATGAAGAAACGAAATAATTGGTTCAAAAGGTATCAACAATCAAGTATTTCAGATAATGGAATATTCAAAGAAACTTACAACTGTATGTATTGTGATAGTCAAATATTAGATTAAGGATTATTAAAAGTTTGAAATTATAACCATATTAATAGTAAATATAGAAGTCCAGCTCATAGTGATTGTAATAAAAAATTACAAATGGGTGAATTCAAAACAAAGGTATCACTTATTTGTCATAATTTTGAGGTTATGATTCTCATTTGCTTATAGAAGTAGTTAGCAGATTTGTTTCTGATAAGCTGCATCAGGAAATTTTTCGGGCATAAATTTCCGTAACACAAACGGGACCCACGGAAATTTACGCCCAAAAATTCAATTTTTTTGACTTTGGTCGCAATTT